ATATGATCAGTATTTTCAGCACACCCATCTGATCTGAAAATATTATTTACCCACTTTTCCAAAATTTCATGTGGCACAATGCCGAGTTTTAAATTGGGGTATCTGAGCTGGTAGGCTCAGGCAAAAATTCCCTATAGACCAAACAAAACCAGTGTCAAAATCCCAACATCAAGATTATTTGCCCTTTGGCAGAGCCTCATCTGGGGGACACCCTCTGACATGTGCCAGGTAAGTGTACTGCACCCAGAGTAAATTTGCTACTAGCTTTAGGACGTGCTTTATATAAATTCCCTCAGAAAACAGCAACTAATCAAGTCTACATATTGGGTTTTATTCGATGTTATAAATCGGGTATGTTTGGTAGTACTGTTTTTCCTACATGTATATATAGACAGGTGTCTTTTTTTTTTTTAAGAAGAAAAAAAAAAAAATCAAACCAATGAATATATATACATTAATAAAATTTTAAAAAATCCATATTATTATTTGGTTTTTTATTACGAATTACTTTTTTATTTCTCTTCCTCTCCTTTTAAATTCTTTATTATATCTTATTTGTTTGGTCTTTCTCTTTTTTATAACTTTCCTTTTATTTCTTAACTACACTTAAAAATGTGTATGTAAAGGATGATTGAAATGATTAAATTTCCAAACTTTTAAAAAAAAAATTTAAAAAATACAATATGGAATAATTTGGGATATTGATTGTTAATCTAAAAATTTCATTTAAAAACTTGAGAAATAACATTTAACTAAAACTGTTTAAAATAAATTAATCAAGATATTTACATATTGAATACTAGTTAAAAAAAATAAAATAATAACATGTAAATTTTAGTTAAAATAAGTTATTTAAAATTATCCTTAATGGAAACCGATTGAAAGAACAAAAAAATAAAAAAAAAAATAACATTCCTGTCCTGGAAAATGACATGCAACCACAAACCATTACTGTTTTTCATCCTCCAAATTTTAGTTTTGAATAATTTTTTGAGCATCATATGCTCCCCAACTTTTTTGACGAACATAAACAACACCAGGGGTTCAAAAATCTGATAAAAATAAAAATTTTAGGGGTAATATTCTTTTCAATAAAAATACAGTATTAATAGGTGTAATAAAAACAGTTATGCTCAATAAATTAGTTTCAACTTAATAAAGGAACTTACTTCAAAGTTACTTTCATCAGACCAGACAATTTTAAATTAATCCTCAGTCGTCCAATTTTTCATGCTCTTTTTGCAAAAAAAATATCTTTTTTCTTATTAAACTCAGACATATATTGTTTTTTTTTTATTCATATTATGCCACTGGTTGATTCCTAAAGCATTTTTTTCTGTATTTAAGGCTATTTTATATATATATATATATATATATATATATATATATATATATATATATATATATAATATATATATATATATTATAAAAAGGCTAAATACAATCCAATTCATCAGACCTTTTTTAAAAAAAACAGAAAAAATCCTCCAGGGAATGAAAAATAAAAAATTTAGTAATAGTTATATATGAGAGTTTTTTCTACGAATGTTGAATAAATTTTCTTATTAGGAGGGGTAACAGACAAGAGAAGAACAGGAAGGTCTAAAAATGAAGTGGGGATTAAAATTTAACAGAGAAAGTTTTAAAGAGGGTGAGTCAAAGACGATTTAAATTTGAGAGAAATATGAATATTCTGGATGTCTAAAATACATTAAAGATGTAACCGAAAGGATACATTTTGTGGTGACATACACACACAATAGACGATTTAATCTTAAAATATCAGAACATGAGAGAAGGAAAGGAACAGAAAAAAGTCATTCATCACACACACAAACACAACACACACACACACACACACAACAAACAATGGGTGTGAAAAAAGGAATTATTGTCCAAATCCTTTAAATTGCATAATTATCCATTCCACTAAATCAGGGGTTGGCAACTTATTCGACCCGTGGGCCAGGATCGTGTTATAATGACGGGTTTAGGCGGACAAGATTCCATTAATGAAAAATTAAGGAATTAAGGAAAATTACATATGCAGACCCATGTCAACCTAAATATTTAAAACCATAATGAAAATAAACATTGAGAAATCAGAAAAACAAAAGAAAATCTAAAATTAAAAAACACCTAACAAAAATTACTTTTCCTCAACAGAACAATAAAATAGTTCAAAGTGAAAAAAAATCAACCAAAGTGAAATGGATGAAATTATGATGTATAGGTTTGACACTGTTATTGAAAATTGTTCCACAAACGAACCACACACACACACACACACAAAAAAAAACAACACACACACACACACACACACACACATCAAACAAAAACAAGCATATACCCATACATACGAGTACAAATAGTTGCAAACATATACACTTATGTACATACACATGCGGTATCATCCACACATTCATGAGGCATGTATGTATAATGCGCGTATGTTTAACTGTCTTTAGATTTCTGCTACCTCGCATGTCAGTCCCTCCCTGGCCTCTTTCACTTTATCGTTCCTTTCGCTTCTGTTATCTTTTAATGTAGCCAAGGGTCATAAAAAAATATGTATCCATTATTTGACATTAAATGTAGGCAACAAACTTGGTAAAATAAGTCTCATGAAATTAACTTGCAGATAGTCTAATTTTTTTTCGTGCACTGAGATGTGTAGACATTCTATGGAAAATGACATATAACAAATTTCATTTGAAATTCATCTATCATGTTAAAAATAGAGTCATTGGTAATCAGGCTCGTGGGCCGGTCAAAATGCCTTCACGGGTCAGATCCGTTTAAATGTTTAATATCTAAAATACACAACACTAATTGAGTTTCTTTTTTCCAGGTTTTCAGATAAGAAGACACCTCTTATCTCCACAATGGTCTAGTTATGATAGCGAGTCACCAATTACTTGCCTGGATGATAAACATACTAAACATGGGAAACCTCAGAATGGATCACTAATATACCCAAATGTCCCTCCTCGATTACATCCAACAACACTAATATTATGTGAAGTTACTCATGACCCAATTTCTTGTGGGACAACAAAGAAGGGTTTCTTTTGACGGAATGACACACTCGCCTTCTCTCAAATTGAAGTTCTCTTTCATCAAGAATAAGGCAAGTCTTAGTCACTATTTCTGCCATTCGACTCTGGTTCACTGTCTGCTACAGTCTTTTTTGAGTATAGAAGTTATTTGCGAGTCACATCTAGACACTTGGGAATACACTTAATTGGTGTTACCTTACCTGAATGTATTTCTAACTGGGTCCAACCTGCAAGTTTCTGCAGTACTTTTTATCAAAATATATCACTGAATCAGAGACATTTGGCTGTGATGCATGAGCCTTATCAGACTGGGTGTCATGATGGGTATAATGAGTTTTGTATATTCACACTCCAATATCAATTTTTGAAGAGTTTCTCTTTTACTCAATAATAAGAACATTAAAAAGTGATAAAAATAAGAGCCTAACTCACCTGAAATCCAAACAGAAAGCAAAAAGCTTACATAGCCAACACCTGTTGTGTTGCATTCTGTGTCATCACTGGCTTCAGCTGCTCAGACCACAACAATACTTCTCTTAAATGGTATCAATGAAAGATGATTTCTTTTTCTTATTCATTTTATAAGAGGAAAGGCACAGACATGGTAGCATTGATTCCAGGAGACAGTGGAAAGAACTTTAAAGGGGACACATGCCTGTTTGTTGTCTCAGTGCCATGTCATAGAAATGATTATCCTGCCTGATTAAAAAAAAAAAAAAAAAAAAACAGAAACATCTCAGCAAATGTTTTGAGAAACTTTCAAAATTTAAGGACCTAGAAAAAGAAATTGCAAGAATGTGGTAAATACAACTGTAATCCCAACAATAATAGGAGTAACTGTCTATATTTCTGAGATGAGGTATTATGTACACTATTTAAGGACACATGGCACAGTGGATAAAGGCGTTAGATCCAGTGACAGTCCCAAAGAATGTGAGTTCAATACCTGGTTAAGGTGGTGGAGAACTTTCAGAGGGAATTAACATGAGATAACTGATAACTGACATCCATTAGACATGGCATGTGGAACTAGAACAGTCTACCCCTGTGAGCGAAATAAAGGGTTAAGTTCGACATTCCAACCACCTGAAGAAGGCCAGAGCATACAACAGCCAAAACATTGTAATAAATATGGCGACAGAGATGAGGACAATAGTTTGAATAATGTAAATAGTGTACATAATAAGAATACTAAGAACGATTTTAAAAAATCCCCAAATCCTCTGCAGTAGTGGATATACAAAAGATTGCACTTATGTGCACTGTTCACATACAAACAAAAACTCAATGTAATATGTTCAATAACTTTCCAAGAATAAAAACAAAATTCCTTTACCTCAGTTCTAATGTAAAAAGCTCTCATAAGGATTGTATCAAACAGCAAATCAGAAAAACTAGAAACCATAGTAATAATAATAATAATGTAGATAGTAAATGCTGTTACCACCATTGTTAACTTTGACAACAATCAATTGCTGAAATTACTTAAAATGAGTTGATTCAACTTTGGGCAGCTCTTTTATGTAAAGAGGGATATATCATTTTCAATACAACTGTCACCCAAGACTTGTTTGCTGAAGGACACTGTTATCTCCTTAATCACCACATTTGTGGGACAAGATTGGGCGTCTTACCCCTCTGCTGTAATATGAGTTTCTTAATAAACGTAGGCGGATACACTGATCAGAGCCAGATAATGGTATCTATTATCATAATAGGTCAACTCAGTAGACATTTTGGTTAGTTGGGTTGATAGATTTTATTTGTGTTATTTAATGTTGAAATCTGCATTTTTTTTTTATACTTGAGTCTATAGTTCAACTTTATACCTGAGCTTACAGATAACCATTGGTTGTATTTATACTTGCTTCTGTTGGTAAACACTGGTCATACTTGAGTATGCAGATAAAAACTGATCAAGTTTATATTTGAGGCATCATGTTGAAACACCAGTTCTCATATAATCACCGAACTTAAGCAATGTTGAACCTGGTCAGTACTTAGATGGGTGACCGCTTTGGAATAACAGATTTAAGCTTGAGAGTGACTGAGTTCCAATTCGGGTCAGGTTCATTATATTCACTTACATGCAAATATCATTGGGAAAAGCATGAATCCATCCACTTGGCCCCCACCCCACTATGGGTTCATTAGTAAGACGTATCAGTAAATCATTATTATCTACAAAACTTCTTACAGTATAAAAATAAAAAATCCTGGCTTTAAATAACTAGCAAATGGTTGATAAACTATAAAACACAAAGCAACCAATCAATCAGTTTATACTGGAGCCTATATTTAACCATTGGTAGACAAACGCTAGTCAGGTTTATATTTGAGTCTAGAGATAAACGTCAGTCGACTTTCTACCGGATTCAAAACAGAAACGTCGGTCGACTTTCTACTGCAGTAGAAACAGAAACGTCGGTCGACTTTCTACTGGAGTCAAACCAGAAATGACAGTTGACTTTCTACTTAATTTCATAAGCAAACATTTGTCACCACAATGCATCCAACTGGTAGGGGGCCCTCTTTTAGGGTGGTCTTATACCTGTACATGGATGCACATTGGTGTAATAAATAGAGGCTCTGAATAAGACACCGGAGAGCTGAGTTCAAATTCCAGTCAATTTTGTTACATTCACTCATGTGTAAATACCCTTGGAAAAGAGTATGACTCCATCCCCTTCAGCTATGGGTAAAGAGCAGAATAGATTAGGCCTAATAGCCTTGGTTGGCAACCAGCCTAACAGGCAATCTTTGAATTTAAACCAGGCTGGTTAGGGTTTCCCTGTCAAGCTATGTTGCTTAAGTCACATTGCTGCTGGAGCATGTGTGGTGCCCCTTTGACCCTAATGAGTTATGGGACATGAATTGTGATAACTCTACAAGAGACACAGTCAATGTATTCTAGGTGCTGCGAATAGCATAATTACTCTTATGGAGCATTATCAACGATCAAGTATTTACAAGAAAATCTCTTGATGTCATGAATTTGATTAATGAGAGACACATGCCAAGACACTGAAGCCAATAAAGGAGTCTGGAACAAAATTTACTTGAGTGTAGAAAATAACAACAGAAACATGTAAGTACTTGAGGGCCGACAATTTGAGTACTTAAGAGATTGTACTTGAGAATTAAATTTGAGAACCTAAACACTTGAATTCTTTCTCTTAATAAAAAGTATATCTTCCTTAGTGTGACTTAATAAAACTATATCAGACTCCTTATATATTAAAATCCTATATACAGATCTGAAACCAACAATCAGTAATTATATTAGGAAGGAGTATATCTTCCTTAGTGTGAATTAATAAAACTATATCAGTATCTGTCTATATTTTTGAGATGAGGTATCATGTACATTTTTACATTATTCGGACTATTGTCCTCATCTTTGTCGCCATATTTATTACAATGTTTCAGCCACTGTACACTCCGGCCTTCTTCAGGTGGTTGGAATGTCGAACTTAACCCTTTATTTCACTCACTGGGGTAGACTATTCTAGTTCGACGTGCCATGTTTATGTGAAATATTGCTCTCCAATATGGGTCATATTGGAGAGCCCATAGAATGTGAGAGCTTGTTGGAGGCCAAATTGACTTGTCAAAAGATTTACAGAAATATCTTTAGTAACAGTTCATTCTTGTTTTTTTTTTAATTGGACTTCAAGCAAGTAAAGCCACTAAGACAAAAGGAGTTATTGGGCATGAAAGATTTAGAAAACAGAAACATCACAAAGGAGTGAGAAAAATAGAAGAGTAATCAGGAAGACAATAGATAATGATTGACACTGCATTTAAATTTTTGAAGATCAAATTTAACTGGAAAGCATGAAGCTAGAAGAGTTCCAAAAGTTAGAAAAAGTAACTGTTAGCATAGAACTTATAGTTATATGTCAATTTTAATTGATAAGACCTTGTTATCAATCTAGCGCTATGCTTAAATTCATAAAGTCTAGGTACCATAGCAAAGAGCTCATCTGAACACTTAGATTAAAAGTATTTATAGAAAAGGCACAGGAAAGCAACTTTATAGCAGTAGCAAAGGAACTTAAGTGGAGATACCAGGTCAAGACCAATACTATTGCTGATTCTTATTTGGATTTTATCAAGGATCTCATATAGCAGGAGCACCAGACTATATATGGTAGCAATATTCAAAGCATGCATGAATGGTAAACATATAAATAAGTAAGATAGATTCTGGAGAGAAAAATTATCTAGCCTGACACAGTGAACCAATTTTCTTAGCATCTCACCTATTAATAGATTCAATATAGTCTTTCCACTTCATGGCAGCTGAGAATGTTAGCCTAAGAACATAAAATGAGTCACTCTTCTGGAGGTTAGCATCAGCCATACTGATGGAAGGTAGAAAGAGGTCACTGGGATGATTAATAGAGTGCAGTTTGTTTTTGGAGATGTTAAAATTAATAAGCTATTCTTTGCCCCAATTAACAAAGACTGTAGGTCATTTTTGACATCACCCACCGATTTGATCTTATCAAACTGATTAGACTTATTATCAGTACAGGAGTAAATTGTTGTGTCGTCAGCATAGATAACAAGTTGAGAGATGATGACACCAGGAAGGTCGTTAATGAAAATTAAAAATAAAGTAGGATGAAAGAGAGAACTCTGGAGGCTTTTGTCATGTGTAAAGACATTAACTTCTAAATGTGAATGGCAACACATTTTTTCCCAAGATTTGCTGGTAAACTCTGCTATTTACTTTCACTTCAATTAACACTGGGGGCAATTAATTTTGAAGGATCAGAAGAAACGGCAGTCAAGTGGCATAAACCCTATCATTTTTGTAGTTGACCACAATTTCTACAATGAAAATTTCTCTTCCAACTAAGTGAAGACATTGTCTGCAACACGTTAGAGCTCCAACATTTTCTTCCCTCTGCCAAGCCATTTTTGCTTGGAGGCACTTGAAAGCAGCTGTCATTGTTAAATCTTGAATAATTTTAACACTAAATCCTCTTTCACAATCCTCCTTAGTGGCCTATCCAAAATATCCAGGTTTTTTACCATCTCCTTCATGCTCTTTATGGACTTCTCTTCTTGATGGCTTCAATAACTCTCCTGGAATAGACTGAACAGTTTCTTCATGGTATTGGATTTGGTAAAAATACTTGCTCCTCTTGAAACTTTTTTCCACACATTAAAAACAGTTTTTCTGCAAATATTCAGCTGTTTTATCACTTCAAAGTTCTTCATACCAGCTATTTTCAATGAGATAATTTTGTCATATTTTGTTTGAGCCGCCATATTTGATTAAACTATAAACAATAAAACAAAAAGATTTGAAATTGTTTTTATGAATAAATATGTTTTAATTTATGTTTAAATGATAAGTAAATTTTATATTTTACTAGCAGTAGAGCCCGGTGTTGCCCAGGGATGTAACAGTAAGAGATAGATCAAGTATCGACCATCATAAAGACTGAAAAATAAAATTGACAAAGATTATTGTTTAAGGTTGACGGATACGCATGTCTTAAAAACAACAAACAACCTGGGTTTTATAATAAGTATAACTCGATATGAGTTGTTCCCCTTTCATTTTTGTGATGCTTCTTAATCGTGTTTTCAAATTGATTTTGTGCAAAAACAATTGTGTTTTTTCAATTTTTGGCGCTGTTAGAACCACCGCAAGGTAATTTTACGTAGTCCTGTGAAGTTTTGTTAAAATCGGTTGAAAAATGTAGGAAATCCGATCCAATATATAAACGTACAGACACACACACACACACACACAATGTGCATTTTATAATAAGTAAGATGTTCAATTTCTAAAAATAAAAAAATAAAAATAAATAACGGTATGAAAAGGCTCACCAAAAAAGTGGTTTCAAAAATAAGTTAATTTATTAAACCCTTATAGTTAATGCCGAAATACCTAAAGTGGAATGTAGGTGTAAAAATAAAAGAAAAATCATTTGGTTCAATTCCTGCTTTGGCAAACTGTCAAGTATTTATATGGGACAGCACTTTCTAAAATTAATAAATAAACACTTCCTCAAAGACAACCCTCTAAGTAAGATCTTCAGTAGGAAATCAATCAAAATTAGCTACTCCTGCACTAACATGTACCAAATTATCAACTCCCATAATAATTATATATTAAGTAAATTCTATAGGGGGGGAACTAAATCTAGTACAGAACCCCCCTGTAATGTAGAAATAGAAAAAACTGCGCAGTCAATGGCAAATGGAGATCCATTAGGGTAATATACCAGGCAACCATTGCCCCCCGCCCCCAATATGACAAATTATGTTTACATTGAAATTTCCATGGGAGAATTAAAACAGAGAATTTATACCCATAGGCACTCATTTACCAATCCTAAATTAAAATTCCAAACAGCCCAAGAAATTTTGGGAATGGAAGGAAAAGGGTCTAAACCCACAAAATTATAGGTTTCACACATGCATTTAACAGCTTTAGAGATAGATGCAGGCTATGTTTAGAGGAAAAAATTAGAATAATAAAATAAAATGATCAATGGAAACTATTAAATCAAAGGGAAGAGTTAGTATCAAAATGTAGGCACAGAAGCAGGTTCAAGCTTATATAAGAATATAGATTTTACCATCACTTACTAACTACCAAAAAATAACAGCCCTCTCTAACTGATGCACGTACCCCCCCCCCCGCGATTAAATTTTTACTGTAATATTTTCCTCATAAAGAATTTTGGCTACAACTTAGTACTCCTAATATCATAACCAAACCTTAATGGTGAAAATGAATGTTGCATATATATATATATATATATATATATATATATAATTATTTATATGAATATGATTCCTTCGCTACATAAGAGTTCTCATGTTTCAAAACATAAAACGTTCTTTCCTATTTTCTGTATATTTTCAGACACACACACATATATGTGTGTATTTGTATATGCATGTGTGTTAAAACTCCCACCACTTAATAATATAATCCACTAGCAGGAACCTAAATTCATTTACATACAACTAAAGGCTTTGGCCATAAACTCCC